GAACTCTTACAACTCAGTGATTAAAAGACAAATAACTTAATTAAAAACTAGGTCAAATATGTGAATAAACATTTCTCCAGAGAAGATATGCAAATGGTCAATGAACACATGAAAATATGTTCAACATCATCAGTCACTAGGGAAATACATATCAAAACCATAATGAAATACTATTTTATAACCACTAGGATTATAACAGACAACAAGTGCTGGTGAGGATGTGGAGAAATTGGGACCTTGTACACTACTGGTAGGAATAAAAAATGGTGCAGCCACTCTGGAAAACAGTGTGGCAGTTTCAACACTAATTCCACTTCAAGAGAAGTGAAAACATAAGTCCACACAAAAACTGTACACTAATGTTCAGCATTCTTTCACAACAGTCAAAAGTGGGAACAACCCAAAGAAGCATCAACTGATGAATGGAAAAATAAAATGTGGTATCTATACAATGGAATATTATTCATCCATAAAAAGGAATGAAGTACTGATATATGCTCCAACATGGATGAACCTTGAAAACATTATGCTAAGTGAAAGAACCCAGTCACAAAGACTGCATTCAATATGATTTCATTCATATGAAATATCCAGAATAGGCAAATCTATAGAGAAAGGAAGGTAGATTAGCATGTCTAGGGTATGAGTGTATATGCGCATGGGGTGGGAGGGGAACAATTACTAAAAGGTATGATGTTTCTTTTTGGAGTGATAGAAATGTTTTAAAATTGACTGTGGTGATGATTGGGCAACTCTGAGAATATCTTAAAACCCACCAAACTGTATACTTCAAAGGGATGAATTTTATGGCATTCGAATTACAGTTGACCCTTGAACAATATAAGTTTGAACTGTGCGGGTCACTTATACGCAGATTTTTTTCAACAGTAAGTACTACAGCACTAAACGATACACTGTTGGTTGATCTAGAACTGCAGACATGGAGGACTGACTATAAATTATATTCAGTTTTTGACTGCACAGAGGGTCAGTGTCCCTAACCCCCGGGTTGTTCAAAGATCAACTATATATCCTAAATAGAACCATTAAAAAAAAATAGAACGGATTATTTGCGAAGAAATAAATGTATACTTGCAAAAATAGACACTGTAAGGATTTACAGAAAGTAACTTTAAATGATCACCTGCTGGTGATGGAAGGGATGATCCACATCTGGGATGGAAGTGATGAGGAAAGGACAAATGAAGAGACTGGGATGAAAGCCAAGCCTTCTCTGAATAATCTTTTTTTTTTTTGCGGTACGTGGGCCTCTCTCTGTTGTGGCCTCTCCCGTTGCGGAGCACAGGCTCCAGACGCGTAGGCTCAGCGGCCATGGCTCACAGGCCCAGCTGCTCCGTGCCATGTGGGATCTTCCCTGACCAGGACACGAACCCGCGTCCCCTGAATCAGCAGGCGGACTCCCAACCACTGCGCCACCAGGGAAGCCCTGAATAATCTTTTTATGTAATTTCCACTTTGAAAATTTGTATTTCACACATAAAAAATAAAATTAATTTAAAAAACTATCCTTACAAATGATAACGAACTCAATCAGATTAACCTACCTATGTGTCAAACTGTTGACATAACTCAGTGACTATAGAAAATGGTATTTTGGAAGTAACAAAGGTAGCAACTCCTGACTCTGAAAATTGGCACCTAAAGAATTCTTAGTGAAACAGATACTAAAGAAATCTTAAATTTTATTCTGTAGTCCAGGAGTTAGACAACAGATAGTATGGAAACATCTAATACACATTATAGGAAAATGTAAATAAGCCAGCCTCTAAGATGGCCCCCAATGATCCTGCCACCTGGTATTCACACCCTTATGCAGTCCCCTCCCACATGCACCAGATTTGCTCTGCTTGATCTATATAGCAAATGACAGAAGTTAAGATACGTCACTTCCAAGGTTAGATTGTTAAACAAACTGTAGCTTCCATTTAGGTCAGTTTCTCTCTGAATACTCATTGTGGGAGAAGCCAGCTGTCATGTTATGACCAGAACTATCCTGCCAACAGCTCTGAATGTGGAAGCAGATCCACCAGCCCCAGTTCAGATAACCACTGCTCTAGCCAACATCTTGTCTGCAACTTCTTAAGAGACTCTAAGGCAGAACCACCTAGCTAAGTAGCTCCTGGATTCCTGACCCTCAGAAACTCAGTGAAATAATATATGTTTGTTGTTTTAGGCAGCTAAGCTTTGTGGTAATTTGTTCAAAGACAGATATTATTAACTCAATAGCAATGAATATATCCAATGACCAGAAAATGGTTTCTAAATACTATTTCCCAGCAAAGAGAATGAGGGTTGCTTGGAGGATTTACTGATCCAGGTCTAGAGTTAGAAGATTAGCCTGAGACATCAAATTTGTAGCAGAAAGTAAGCTATCAGAGACAAATGAGTAGTACCCCAAGGACACAGGAGCCAACCTGAAGGGATTACCATCAATCAAAGATGGGACAATGTGAGCAGCAAAAAGAAAATAATTAACTGAAATACAATGAATATATAAAATTATATGAAAATCCATGTATTCATAACTTTCCTGTACAAACTATTTCAGGATACCTAAACAGCCCTTGTTAAAAAGAATAGTCCCTTACAGAATGATTCTAGCTAATAAATGGAGAAGAAATACTAGAAATTCAGAAATCGCTGTTTTCAAACTCCTAATTATAGTGATTTCCAAAGTATGGCCCTGTACCAGCAGGATCACTAGGGAATTGGTTTTGTTATAAATTGCACTAGAAAAGTAAATTCTCAGGCTATGCCCCAAACCTACTGTATTAGAAATTCTGGGGATGGGGCCAAGCAATTGGTGTTTTTAACAAACTCTCTAAGTGATTCTAATGTACACTAAAATTTGAGAACCACAGCCCAATGAAAAGATGATGTTAAGTATCAATCATTAATGAATTAGATGAAAGACTAGTAGAAAACTTTACGATTGGGGAGGGGAGGATCAGGCTATCACCACCTGAGCCCTTAATAAATCTTACCATAACTCAAAGTAAGACCAGATATTGTACAGCTCTCGAATGATCCAATATAGCGTACTCACAAATATCTATCAAGTATTCTTATCTCTTCCCGTAAAAAAGTTAAAACCTGAATGTAAACAATGACATCACAAGAAGTAAAGAGAGAGATCTAGAATACAGGACATGCTACATAATAATTGGTTTCTGCCACAAAGCAACAGCAGGGGTAAAAACAGCAGGGGAACTACAAAGACATGTAACAAATATAATAATGTGAAGATCTTATTTTGATCTGTATTCAAAACAAACAGACTGTAAAAATATATTCCTGGCCCAGTCAAGGTAATCTGATTATGATGGTTATTAGATGATAAAAAGGAATTACTGTTTATTTTTATAAAGTGTGATAACAGACTCTGGCTATCTAACAAAAATGTCCATACTTTTATATATGATACACACGTTATGTATGTAGAATGAAAAAGTATGTAGAAATGAAATGGCAGGTCCTCAGAATAAGATTAAACCCTATAACTAGATAACTTTAAATGATCTAAGGTAGAGTTCTTCCAATAGGTTCCAGTGTTCTAAGGAAAGATAAAGGATATCATACTTTCTTTTTTTGGCTTGTGGGATCTTAGTTCCCTGACCAGGGACTGAACCTGCGCCCCCTGCATTGGAAGCGCAGAGTCTTAACCACTGGACTGCCAGGGAAGTCCCGGAAGCAACTTAAATTTAAATGTCCATCAACAGATGAATGGATAAGGAAGATGTGGTATATAGACAATGGAATATTACTCAGCCATAAAAAAGAATGAAATAATGCCATTTGCAGCAACATGGATGAACCCAGAGATTATCATACTAATAGTGAAGGAAGTCAGGCAGAGAAAGACAAATATCATACGATATCACGTATGAGTCTAAAATATGACACAAACGAACTTATTTACAAAACAAATGGACTCACAGACACAGAAAATAAACTATGGTCACCAAAGGGGAATGCGGTGGGGACACATGAGGCGACTGGGACTGGCTGATACAAACTACCATATATGAGACAGACAACACAGGGAACTCCAGTCAATACCTTGCAATAAACTATAATGGAAAAGAAAAAAAGAAGTGAAATTTGCGTGATGGGGGTAATTACTGGGCACTGAGAAATGACTTTACTATATAAACCATTCTACTTTCTATTCTCAATAAAATTATAGCAAATAATTGCTCTCAATTACCTAAATGGCAAAAGAGGGGAACCCTTTAGCATTTTTTCAACATTAAGAAATTTCCTTTTAAGATAAATGTGTTTTCTTTCTATGAAGGCTCTTCTACAGAGAATACTAGATTATACAACACTCTTATTTTTTTTTTTTTTTGCGGTATGCGGGCCTCTCACTGTTGCGGCCTCTCCCATTGCGGAGCACAGGCTCCGGACGCGCAGGCCCAGCGGCCATGGCTCACAGACCCAGCCGCTCCGCGGCATGCGGGATCCTCCCAGACCCGGTCACGATCCCGCGTCCCCTGCATCGGCAGGCGGACTCTCAACCACCGCGCCACCAGGGAAGCCCCAACACTCTCATTTTAAAGATGAGGAAACATTCCTCTAATAGCATTTTGATGGTTTCTGAAGTGAGCCATCTCTGCTCAAAAAGAAATTCTAAATTTTGGGGAAAAAAATCATATATTACATAAAATAAGAACATCAGCAACTAGTTAATTAACGTAGCGAACCCTCTTTCCAAATTTAACATTGAAAACTACAAAATTAAATTATTTTTTGTGAAGAGGATCCTGAAATTCACGACTGATGGGTATTTTCTCCTCCTGTTTTTGTTCATAAAAATGCATCTAAATACCTGATGTAACGTTGAGCAACAGAAGTCAATGAACAGCTTCACTGAAAGTCAAAACTGAACCACAAATATTTATTCATTATAAACTGAGTTATTTAATTCATGCAGCATGCAAACTACAAGCAAATACAGGCAGGATTATTCTCACCTTTACCTGCTCTATATGTCTTGGCTTGATTGACGGGCATGGGTGTCATAGGTATAGGATATAAAGGCTTAAGGGAATAAAAAAAACAAAAACAAAAACTGAAGATTAGGCTCTCAAGATAGTAAGAATGTATTTTACCACTCTCTCTTAGTTGCATATTGCTAGAGAGCTCGCTCTGAGGTTTCCTGATTCTTTATGAGTCATTAAAAAATAAAATCACACCCACAGCTAAAAGGACAAACCCCAAACTACAGTAAATCTAAATCATATTTCTTACCAGAAACATTCTCAGATTTAGGTCCTTACACTAACAACACACCACACTGCAAGCTTCCACTTTTTAAATACCTCTGTTATACCATCACTGCCTCAAATCACTGCATACCTACAAAGTGTTTGGTGTCAAATACAAATAACTTAGAGAGGGTAAATGAACACCAAATTCTATGACTTACTTGTACTCCTGGGCTCACTGGGACTGGATACATCATATTTGGTGCAAAACAAACAGGTTGAGTATAAACTGGAGTTGGCTGCTGATGACCCACCATAGATGGGCTAGGTTGTGCTTGAGGACGAGGCGAAGTTGGGGTGGTAGAAGGCTTTGGCTACAAAAACAAAAATCAACTACCTTAAGGTGAAAAGCTAACCATTACTGCAATTTGAGGACTGATTCCCCCATCTTTCTCAGTTTTACTCACTGTTGATAAGTAGTACCTCTTAATGAAAATATCTCACAGAAAATAAACTTCCACATGTTTCAAATAAAAGAAAAAAAATACTTGGTTATGTTACCAATAACCAAGTATTACTGGTTGATTAATGTTACCAATTAATCAACAATGCTATTAAAAACAGCAGTGGTGATTTTTAAGGAACTGGAGACTGTTTTTAAAAATTATAAAATAAACACATCATCTTACAAAGTCAGTAGAATAATAACTATATATCTGTGAACCTGAGAGCCTCATTGGCCAACCATCTTCAAATTCTGAGTCAGAAAGATTAAAAAATTTGCCCCAGACCACATCTAATTGATGACAAAACTAGCATTTTTTCCTACGGCTCAAAAATATTCATTAATGACTACAGAAGAAAAAAGAACTTAAAGTTGTTTTAGCATACTATAACTGAATTTAGATGGCAGGTATGGGAAAGGGAATATTACTACAAATAACTTTTTTTTAAGAGGCTAGATTACTTCAAAGAGAGAGAAAAACTTACCTGAGAAAAGGAACGAGGGTTGAACTCCTTCGCATTGGGATTCAACGTTGATTTCCTCACTTGCCTACACCGGAAAAAAAAAATAAAGCCCAGTGAAATCTGCATGGAACTTATGCTACTGTGAAGTCTTTTATATCTGACAGTTTTTTAAAAATTGCTAAACATTTAAACAATTCTCACTAGAAGATCACTAATTCTCTTAATTAAAACACACATATACATAATTCCCACCCCTTATTTTGATAATTACTAGCCAAAAAAGGACAAATTTTTAAAAAAGTATAATACGAATGGTTCTCTCAAAAGCAATGAACAAAACTTAAACTGAAAAGACAGTAGCCCCTTATAAAATATCCGTAAAAGCAATCCTTAATATACCAATTCTCTAGCATGCAGTATTTTTTATGTGATAAATTGTTTCCTACATGAAATATCTTGGGAAAAACCATGATTCTAATAAAAAATTTTTGCCTCAAATTAAGAATAAGTGCTCCTTGACTTATCAACATTTGCATTCCAAAAGTTCATCTGTAACTGGGTTGTATGGAACCCAGAACAAATAAATCAATGGTGGTGTGGTTAGGTTCCGAGACTAGCCCACAAAAGCCCATTTAATTGATAATATATTGGATGTGCAGAATTAATTCTATCTTAACAAATCTAACTATTAAGTAAAACTTTTTTTTTTTTTGATGGAAAACACGTTGAATTCCAAGTAGGGGCACCAGAGACTTCTCTCTCTTCTTGGCAGTGGAAGTTCTTAGTCGAGTAGCACAGCCAGGAGGTGGGTACTGACTAGCACACAGGGGATATCAGCCCCAAAGCCAGTGATTTTTCAACTCCCTGTACATTTATAAATAAGCCATTCTTTTTTTTTTTTTTTTTTT